GGCGGGGGGTTCGGGGAGGAGGGGGAGGCAGTGCCGGGCAGGGTCGGCGCTGCCCAGGGCGGTCCGAAATCCCTTCTTTTTCGGAGCCCCGGGCCACAGGGATCTGAGGTTCTGGGACTGGGGATGCGTTTCAGCTCTAGGGTTTTTCTCGCTAGGAAAATGCATGAAGCCTAGATGATGGTTTTTGCTACCCCTAGGACTCAGCAGTTGAATTTTTAAGTGTGTTACTGATTCATTTTTTCTCTCTCTTCCTCTGTCATCACAGGTTTAAACTTACGCGAATCGCTCTTTGGAGGAGGAGGAGGAGGAGACCCGCCGCGCGATTGACACGCATATTCCTATAGGCATCCTCCTTCAGCCCCCACCCCCACGGCCGGATTCGGGTGGCTCCTCTCGGAGCTGAAATCCGAGAAGAAATCCTTAGATCTCTTAAAAAAAAAAAAATCTAGAAACCATCGGTATTTTACTTTCCTGCTTTCTATTTGCAAGATGAAGAAGTTTTTCGACTCCCGGCGAGAGCAGGGCGGCTCTGGCCTGGGCTCTGGCTCTAGTGGAGGAGGGGGCAGCACCTCGGGCCTGGGCAGTGGCTACATCGGGAGGGTCTTTGGCATCGGTCGACAGCAGGTCACAGTGGACGAGGTGTTGGCCGAAGGTAAGGTGGAACTCAGTGCTCCGTAAATTAAAAATCTTGTGCTGATGTGGCAAGACTCTGGTTTCTAGTTGTTGAATGTATGAATGGGTTTTGACCAGTTGACCCTCCCCTTCCCCCTTCACTTTCCCTGTGAGTCATTGTCCTTGAGAGATTTAAAACAGATTGGAAAGTGACAGAGCTTAAAGGGGTAGGGGTTGCCGAAATTGTTTACCTCACTGGCTTTTTATTTAAGAAAAAAAGCGTTGAAAAACCACCATGGTTTCCTTACCAAAATATGCAGATCATATGTGCAAAAGTGTAAAGCTTCATATTTAATGTGGGGTGGTGGGCTTGTGATCTTCTGAAACTTGAAATGTCAATGCTGAAGGGTGGAGGTGGAGGGAATCTAAAAGAAGAGAGAGGGGTTTCTTCAACCCAACTTTCCCACTTCCTTAAGCAGATATTTGAAAGGAAGACAGTACTTTGGGGGAATAGAAATGTATTTTTCCAAGGGCCAAGGCTCTTGGTGAATTTTACTAGGCTTGTTTCCCGACCCAATCAGATCCCTAGGATATAGCTAAGGTAACAAATGATGTGAAATGAATGTGACTATTTTGAATTCAGACTTGGAGGCCCCTGTTCCTCTTGTTTTTATTAAGAAAAACTTGTGAGTGGCCCTGATTTTGTTTTCCCTCTATTGACCAGGATGTTTTTTTGGATCTGTGGAAATGCCTTGTGTGTGCGTTCGTTTGTATATCTATATCTATGTATATGTGTGGATATATATCTTTATCTCCCAGGCTTTCAGGAAATCTTTGCCTGTCTCTTTTGATAACCTTAACCTCGACCTTCATAATTATGCCAGACTCATAGTTTTCACAGCTCATTGCCTGCTTAGTGTGCTTTTATTTTTAATAAAAGCAGCAATTTCCTTTGGCATGAAGCAATTCAAACTAATTGGATGGGGTCAACCTGCTGTAGGTTATGTTATAGACTGTGAGGTGTTGGGGAAGGGGGAGGTCTCTATTACTGCAACATGGTGGTAGGGAACAGCTTATTAGTTAGGGAAGAGAGAAAGCTAAGAGGTCTTTTTAAAAAGGAGCCTTTTACAGGCTAAGGGTAAAACAAGGATCCCTACCTGGACCTAGGAAATGCCTGTCATGATATCATATAGGCTGGTGGGTAGGTTGGGAAGAGGGAGAATCTGTGTTTGTTTTGCGGATTGTATAACCACTGGATTCAACAGGGCCCAGTTTCTGGGGATAGGTTTGAAACCAGCACTTGAAAAACACTATTAAAAAAAAAAAGATACTGACACCTAATGTCCTTGTGAAATTATTGCTCTTTTTTATTCTCAGTATTGCTTTAGCTGGACTTAATTTGGGGCCTGAGTCACTGTCCCTCTGGATCCTTCCTTGTGGGCTTTGGTGCAGGATGGGAGATGCTTCTGTGCCCGCTGCCAGATCTGTACCCTTGAGTCTGATATGTCTATTTCATCCCTGTGCCAAAGCCCTTGACTGCAGAGGGGTGAAGAAATAGAGTAGTGTGTGTGAGGGAGAGATCAGGAGGAATGAGAGAGTTCTTTCCTCCCTGCTAACCTTATAGCCCAGGAACATATTGTTTAGCTTAGATGTTGCCTCATGGATGGTGTTGCCCTAAGTGATGCCCATTCTCCAAGTCTGAGAAGAGAGATGTAGAAGAAAAAAAAAGGCAGAATTGGTCTTCGTTATCTAGGCTGCCGTCCTCTGCCCTGGAATTCATCCCTGAGAATGGTGCATCATACCTTAATGATGTTTTTAAGCAGAACTTAAGGCTTGCAGCTCTGCATTCATTTGTTTGTTTATTCATTCAACAAACAATTATAGAATGCCCGTAATGTGCCTGGCATCATGCTAGGCTCTGGAGACATGATATTAAACCAGATATAAGAGTTCACAAACTGCTGTAGGAGATGGAAAATAGCCAGATATTATAGAGTGATTAGTGCTATCATGGAGGTATGCTTAGGGTGCAGTGGCTGCCAATTTGTTTTTTGGGGGAACCCAATTTTTAGGGAGCCAAGAACTGTTTGTTGCCTGGAGAAAGTGACCAAAGAATGAGTAGGCATTAACCAATGTGGTGGCAGTATGGGCAAAGACTCAGTAGCAGAGAGTGTCATGTAAAATTGGGTCTGGCAGTGTTGTTCTTAGTGTTCTTTGACTGTAATTGAGTTTGAATTTTTGGCTTTAGAAATATGTAGATATGTGGGAGTTAGTATACAAAGTGTTTATGTAGTGCCTACCAAGACCAAAGGCACTTCTGAGTTCTGAATGGGATGAGAGATGTCTAACATGTGAAATCTGCCTTTATGGAGCTGCCAGTGAATTTGGGAAGATAAGATATACACTCATCTGTAAGTAGTATGGTTTTTAGCACTGTCTGTAGAGTCGGACAGGTCTAGGTTCAAGTTCTGGATCAGTTCTTTACCAGCTGTGGAACTTGGACAAAACATTCTAAACCTGTCTTGAATCTGTTTCCCTATGGCAGTGTTCTTAAAGCTTGGAGCCCTTATCAGGAATAGTGTCATCACCTGGGAGCTTGTTAGAATTACAGATTTGTAGGCCTCACTCCAGAGACTGTGGGTGTGGGGCTTTAACAAGTTCCTAGGAAGATTTTTGGGAACCACTGCTCTGTGAATGGTCTTGAGGATTAAATAAGGATGTATGTATATATACATATAGTATTTAACATTTTTCAGGTGGTCAATAAATGATAGCCACTGTTTCCCATCAATATATATATTTAGTTAAAGGGAATGTATGTCAGTGTGAGGGCTATTTTGGCTGTTGCAATCCAAAGCTTTTTCCCCATTGTGGGTGGGCTGATCAAGATGTTCTTTGCAGAGGTCTCATTAGCTCATTAAAGGATCAACAGATAAATGTTGGGTAGTCACAGTCCTTCCTTGGTCCCTCTTCTCTGAGTCTGTAGGTGCTCACCTATTTACCAGTCCCAGCCAGAATTGTTTAAGGACAATGAGAGTTATATACTATATGCTCAGGGCAGTGATCAGGCAGTTTAGGGAGTTTGGTGTGGGGAAGGCTTCAAAGAGATTTGATTGCCACCATATCCCATTGAGTATTTCTTTTTCCCTAATGTGGGTATTGGTCTGTGCTTCATAATGAGGAATTGAAAGAACCCTAAGAAACAGATGCTAGGTAAGACAGGAGAATTCTGGGTTGCTAGGGTTGCTGTCTCTCTGTCAGTTGCATTAACCTTGCTCTTCTGATTCACTAAGTATTCCAGAGGGGACACAGCTGTGGGTAGGGGGAAGTGAAGGCTTTAAGTCTTGAGTTAGCTATGGGTATCTCCAGGCAGGGTGCTGGGGTGGATAACTTTCTAACTTTCTTAGTGAGGATGCTCCTATGAGATGCTAAGTCATGTCTGAGTTAATGGGCATGTGATATCAAGGGAAGGTTTGGTTTAAGCTTCCAGAATGAGCTCAATGGGAGAATTAGAGCAGTGCTTAAAGAAGGACTGAGAATCGGTGCTTTTGTCTATTTCCTTAGCTGTATGAGTCCTTATTTCTAAGCTTTAACAACAAGGAAGTGTTGAATGCCTGCTGTGTCCGATACAACATCCCTGAGCTGTATCAGTTCTGAATAAGGTGGACAGCTGGCTTCTTAGAAGGGTTTTTTTCGCCTACACCAAAAGAAACTAGGTCTAGTGCTAATGATAACTAAGATGCCCTATCAGAGAACTAGTAATTTCTCCTATCTATAGAATAATGTAGTGGGGCTTAAAAATGTGTGAACCACCAAGAAAAAAAAATTCACATATGGTATATAATTCAAACACATTGGTAGTATTGATATGAGGCGTGTATGTACACATCTTGTAAACATTTATTTGTGCTTCTTTGTGGCAGGCACTGTGTTAGATTTCAGAGACAATAAATAGGTTGGATGGGGCATGAACGAGTAGACCAATAAGTAGCAAATAACCCTGAGATAAGCATCCTATACTTAGCATGGGCCTTGGCATGTGGTAGATATTAAGAGATGTTAAGATGATAAAGAGAAGGGGTCTGGGGATGAGGGCCCCTAGATGATGGAAGTTTTGAACAAGAATGGAAATTACCCAGCAGATGTTCTAGCTCGGGGTTACCCAAGGACTTCTAGCCAGAGGCAGTGCATATGCAGAGGTGTAGAGTGGTGAAACAAAATCAGCTTTGGGAATACTGACTTAGTTTAATGTTAACATTTGGTGTAAGTTTCCCTCCATAATCAAGGAAAGGACATAAAGTGGTAGAATGAAATTCCTTTACATTTGCTCTCGAAGGTACATTTGAATGTGTTTGCTGCTTACTTTCTTCAGTGGCCCTGGGCCTTTTGAAGAACTATCAAATCTCTACAAATATGTGCTGTTCCTCTACTGTGCCTCAGTCCTGTGCTAATTGTGGGGAAAGGGAACAGCTAATGTCTGGGGAAGAGGTGTTCTAGAAGTGTCCTAAGAGGCAAGAAGCTTGAAGCAGAAGAAGGCAGGTGTGGGGAGATGGTGTAGGTAGGGAGTGATAAAATGACCACTGTTACGGAAAGGACTGAGCAGGGTGACTGAGGATGTTTGACTAGACAGAAGGTCTGTTGGCGAGACAAGAAAGAATTTAGTTTGTGGAGAACCTTGAGAGCCAGGCAGAGATTAGTTATAAGCACCTGAGGCCTTCTCTTGACGCAAGTATCAGTTTGATCCCTCCCACTTCAGATGTCTTTGCCTGCTGGGAAGTCTGGTTTTTTAGAGGCAATTGCAGATTTTCAGGGGGTGGTTTGAGAATGGTGTCTTCTTCCTGGCTTCGGGTATGATGACGATTATAGCTTCGCTAAATATAGCCAAATCCAAAATTCAGAAATGAAGTCCAGAATAAGCATTTGCCATGGTCAAAGCCTTTTTGTTGGTCTTTCTAATGAAGTCAAGCTCAGTTAATGAGAGATAATGAAGAGAGAACACATGGGTTTTGAGTGGGACAGTGTGGGGGAAGGCATATAGTT